AATTACTTGTAATCATGATTACAAGTAATTGATTACTGTAATCAAAATTGTAATCATGATTACAGCTGTAATCAAAATTTTTTGAAAGTTGTAATCACGATTACAAGTAATTGATTACTTGTAATCGTGATTACAAGTAATTGATTACTGTAATCAAAATTGTAATCATGATTACAGCTGTAATCAAAATTTTTTGAAAGTTGTAATCACGATTACAAGTAATTGATTACTTGTAATCGTGATTACAAGTAATTGATTACATAGCTGTAATTATCTGTAATCAATTACAGTTGTAATCGATTACTGTAATCAACGGCCAACTCTGGTACATACAACATGGGTACTTAAAACATACAAGACCCATTTAATAATCTATACTTTGATACGCAAAAACAGCGGCATAATTACAATTTCAATGTTTTCAATTAACTGTTCTTATACGAATTAATACTACTCTTTTAGAAGAAGAAGAAAAAACATTTGGCTTGTTCCTTTATTCTAAAAAACGACAGATATTTTTCATAGTGTTGGAAACCCGCATAAATTCCTAACTATTTCCCAGAAACTTGACATTCTGTAAACCAAAAGGAAAACAAATAAACATGTATCAACAGTTCCCGAAAGACAGTAAAGCAAGATTTTTCAAATACTACAGTGGAATGCATTCGAAAGTACGAAACTTTTCATCCGAGACGAATATCCAATCAAATTAAAAGACAGGAGGCGTGCTCCATTGGAGATGTTTCCTAGGAGACCAAAATGAAGCATTCCTTTTCTCGTTCCGTAACCGTATCCGCCACAGGAGATGCGTAATACCTATATCAAGAATTTCTCCAGCTTCACAACTCTGAAACTGTGATTCTTTCTCTTTAATACACTCATTTTTTATTATTCCATGGAAATTTCAGTCGTTATTGTTCAGAAACGACAGATTTCTCTTTCCATTAAATTGATTGAGTTCGACAGTAAAATTACTTTTAAATAATTGCCGAGATGCTTGTTGATTTCAATGTAGAGATTAAATTGAAATGAGAGTCAGAAAGAAATTAATAAAGAAATCATTTCTTTTGGTGGAAAATAAAAAATATATTATCGTTAATGTTAATATAGGTCGATAACTTTGCCTAGAAAACGAATGTGTGTCAAAATTTTTTTACTGTTTTGTGTAAAATTTGCAATGTATACGCAAAATATGCATCTAAACATCACTTTTACACTACTTGGTTTAAAGTAGCTATCATGTTTTTTATTTAATAACACTAAATTTAAAATTACAGTAAGATATGATACACATAAGAATCAGTAAAGTTATTTTTACGACAATATAAAGAAAGAATCATACTTTTAGGATGCATATATACAAACTTAAAATAAAATTATTTTGCTAATCAAACATACACACAGTATGCTTGATTAATAATAAATGTTTGACAAATAATCAACCACATTCAATGTTTTTTATCAATCTGTAAAGAGAACTGAAACTTACTCTTGGTATTCAATAGGCTATATCCAGTTTGTGAATTACATCTGAATACAAGAATAACTCCTATTTTACTTCATGTAAAAATACCGCCATCTCGGCAGCCATACTGTAAACTTCTTGAAATTGCATAAATTTAAACTTCTACTTTAAACTTCTACAAATGGTCAAAGAGCATTTGTAATATGTTAAAAACATGCTTTACTATCATTTCACGCAGGAATTCAGCTAAATAGTTTAAATGAACACTAATTATTTAATTTTATATCCGTCGTTGAACAGCCAAAACAATTTTGGGTTTACGACAACTAATGTTAAACTCTGAAGCCTCGTAATTCTGAACCAATCCAGAAAACAAAGAAACTCCTGGATCAGTATCCCCAGAGGTATTGATTTGTTATGGGAACATGGAGGTTCGACAGATTTAACGTGCATCAGTCACCATTCACTAAACGGGGAGTCTTCGGCCGGCTATGATCGAACCCACGAACTCTTGGATATAGGTCCAGTGCCCTACCAACCAAATTATGCCGGCCTCTACGCTAATTATTTTATTTTTATAACCGTCGTTGAACACCCAACCCAATTTTATGGGTTTTCGACTATTAATGTTCAACTCCGTAGCCTTGTAATTTTGAACCCAATCCAGAAGACAAGGGAAGTCCTGGATCGAGTATTGGGAGAGATTTGCCTTCGTGGAGGACTTTTTGATGGAACTTCTTCCCATTTGCGTTACAGAGGAAGACCACGAGAACCTCCCACGGTTAGCCTGACGGCAAGGGGACTCTAACCCATGATCTGTCTACCACTGAGGATATTTCACGTCAGCAGTGTGGTCGATGCGAGCCAGACGCGGAATTCGTATCGACTGGGATTCAAACCCGGTTCGCCTCATTGGAAGGCGAACGCTCTATTCCCTGAGCCATCGCAGCTCCACACTAATTATTCGCCAAATTTACGTAGCTGCGAAAAGCACACCAACGAGTTGAAGATTGATGCAAGCTTTATCAATTATCGGTGTTAATATTTAACGCCACACTTTGAATTGCTTAAGAACGCTCGATTCGGTATTAACTTGACATTAATTAATCATTCACACAATTTTTTCAACATTAAATTCGGATAGGTATTACATCACAGTTTTTATAGTGTTTGTTAAATCTAATATTCATAATGTAACATTTATTTCTAAGAAACTTCTCAATTACTTTGCCAGCCTTAAAAAATATTGCTTTTGTGTCCCGCACCTTGACATAAAAGATTATCTTCTTAATTTCTTCATTGAAAAAGGGAATTTTTCTTGCGTAAATGGTATTTCTAAATAAAATAAAAGTAGTAAACACATCCTACATCTATTTCACATGAATAAACATAATTATATAAAGAAATATAATATTTTTAAATTAAGTTAATATTAATATGCAGGAAGTTGGTTTTGTGAATCCGTGACTTCTTTATTTTTTGTTGTTTTTCTGTGGATGCTTAAAATGCAATTTCAAGCCATGTGCATGTAATATTAGTAATCATAAATTCTACTTACAGTGGTACATCTTGAGTTTTCATTTATTTAATCTTTGTTATAAATATGATATTCACATTGGATATAAATACGATGTAGTTACTTTTTTCATCTTGAACAATAATTAATTTACCTGCATCACATACGGGGCAAACTGTGTAATAGCCCTAAATTAACCATAACACTGGCAATTTTTATCATACACTTTTTAAAATATATCGAAACTAGTTGATTAAATATTTAATATTAATAAAATTGAATAAAGGTGATGAAGATTTGGATTTTTTAAAGTAAAGGATCAATTTTTGTAAAGCTATAAGTTTTGAAAATTTAACTGGAGCTCCTCTTTCTAGTATTTCGGTTAAGTGTTTCCGATGTCAAACACTAATTTAATTTTTATTTAAGAATAATTTTATTAAATTAAACCCTTTAACTAATATTTATGAAAGTTACAAAATTGAACATTTAAAAGTTGGCAGTTAAAGTGCTAAACATAGTAACATATATGTGTATATTTCTTAAGAAATCATTTTTTTTTTTTCATTTAGATTGAAAAATGGGATTTTATTACGCATTTTGTGTTTTGTTTACAATGGTAATGAAGTCTAGCAGAAATATTATCTGGTTTATATAAAAAAAAAATTATGAGTGAATGACTTTAATGCCCCGCAACCAACGCAAGTAAATAAATTAATATTTTAATCTAAACACTTTATATAAAGATATTTGTGTTTGAAATATCCTTTTCTTTTAAAAAAAATGGGGGAAAATCTACCATTAGAAAATAGACATATTCTTCAATGAAATCATTATGTCTAATTACCCCGTATGTGGCGGTGGAATTGCTTCACACAATTTTCATAATCGGTAAATTTGAGTTCGTTTATGACAAATCCCTGTTGAGAAAAAACTGGTTTTATGTTCCAGTTAGTGTTGAAACGAATCAATTAAAAAATACAGGTTATAGATGCAACTTATCAACCACGATGTCTGTCTCTTTCAACACATCAAATTTTCACATGCAATATTCAAGAATAATGCCATTCAAGAATAACTTTGGAAGGGGAAAGAATTTCGACTGTAGTCTAAAGAAACTGTATTATTCGTGGGCAAAGTTGAATTTTTGCATATCTTAATACCAACTAAAGTTGACGCCAACTTAAATTCTGGTTATACATTTAGATTAGATGTTATTTTCCCCAAAACATGTTAAATGTTGCTTTGTCGAAAAAATTAGCACATCTGAATAATAAATTCAAGCATACGTAACACAATTATAACACAATCAAAATGTCCATGTGAAGAAGATAAAAATGTTTAGAACATTCCGTGCGTCTTTTGAGTTCGTACTAGTCATTTGAAAAATTTGAAATGCGTCTGATCTACCGTGATGTTAGACGCTTTGCTTGCAGAATCATCGTAATAGACTAAAGATTTGTTTTTCAATAATTGTGAATTCAAAAGTCCTTATATACATCTAATGCGTGCAAATTCCACCATTTTGAAGAGTCGTCCTTACACACAGGAAAATATGGTAAATCTTCAAAACATTTTTTATTAAAAGTTTCTTTAAAATCAAAAAATAAAATATACAAAATAAAATATAATTTTTTTAGTCTTTTGTAGTATCTGCCTTTAAAATAGCTCGATTATTGCTTTGAAAGTTTTCATTATGCGAGTTAGCGTTTATAATTAATTACAATATGTACAATAAAACACATAGTCTGATCATTAAAATTTTACGTTTATATTAAAGGCATGAAAACACTATTAGCTTCATGCTTTTTTCCTGTAATTCTTATTTCTTATTAATATTCTTATTTAAAATTATGCATCATTACTTAAAAATAAGTATTATTATTAGTCCAGTAATTCATAACCTCATAGCAGGAAGAGATTTCCATTTTCTTGCATTCATTTCTTGAATAATGGGCCGATTAACTTCATAATTTGCTAACTCTTTCAACATTTAACAAACATGAACTTTTGTATTTTCAGATGTCCTTAACGATGCCATATTTGAAGAAGACCATGATGAAATGGTAATCGTCAAAGATATTGAAATGTTTTCAATGTGCGAGCATCATTTAGTTCCCTTCATAGGAAAGGTATGTCACTGGATTATTAATAAACATGATAACACTGTAACATGTAATTACTAATAAGTTACATTTATATATGTTTGATTTTAAATACTTAATACGTTGTCAACTGAATTTTTTTTTAAGCCAGCGAAACATATTCGATGTTGAAGTCACAAATTATGATTCAAAAATATTTTATAAAACAAAAACATTTCATATTATTTTAAAATCACTTACCAAAAATTATTTTTTGGTAAAGAAGATACTTTTAAAGCCAGTAAACTTAAGTTTTTAACATCTTCGTGATTTTACGAACATGTTTTAATGTTTGTATTTGGCTAAGAAAATTTTATATTGTGAACAAAATGAATCTCTGGTGACTAGGCAAGCGACCTTATTGCAAAATAGCAAGAGGTTAAATATGGGTACTTGTACCTTCAAAGAAATAACACAAAAGTAGAAGTGTAATCTAACTAATTTTCTACTTTAACTAGACACGTTAAATATAGATTCGCTTTTTCTGAATTCCGGATGCATTGACTTTAAAATGAATATTAAAATACAAAATTTGATCTTTTTTTCATTATTTTATCTCAGTTTTGTATCAGTTTATAAATTATTACAGTAGTTTTCCAATTAATAATACAAAAAAAATGATTTTTGATTCATTTCGAATACAGTTACCCTGAATTAAAAACTATAACTCTTCAGCTCTTACCTTCCTAGAACATCAATCCATAGTTAATTCTGAAATTTCGAAGGGGTGGAAGATCCCTCACCGCCATCACTGGTATACGGGCAAAGAGCCAGGTTCTTCATTCGCCCTCAATTGTGACAGAGCTTCTAAAACCGCAGTTTCCAGATTAGCAAGCGGTCACACAAAAATTCTCTCGTTTTACGAAGGCAGGAGAATCTTCGAGGTCTGTTCCAAATGTCAAACTGAGCAGGCTTCTCCCGAACACATCCTGGACTGTTTGGGACTTTCCAAAGAGGACATATACTTATCCCCCTTTCTGGTCCTCGATTTTCTTATAGTCAATGGTCTGATGGACTTTGTCTGACTTCGTCAGACATTGGAGGATAAGCCACAACAATAACAACTATAAAAACTATAAGAAACTAATCGAATTTTAAAATAACGGATTTTCTATGATGTATTTCCACCCGCCAAATGTTTAAGGACGACTCCACGGGAAAAGAAATGAAGCATGTAAATACGTAAAATGTGAAAACCTGTGATGGATTTATGTAACCCTTTTAAGATATTAGAAAACCAGCTCTAAAAGAATTTTGATGAAAATTCTATTAGTTTTAATTAAGTAGAGGTTAGTAAATAAATTTAACTAAGCTCTTACTCGATTCATGTTGAAAATTGTAAAAAAAGAAGAAGAAAAAAATTCAAACATACTCTGGGAAAACTTTGATGAGACATCTCTTCGAATGAATAATTTATTTCAAGTTGACACTAAATTGTCCACTTTAAATAGAGTAGTCAAATTTTAACAACAATAATGAAGAAATCCCCCACTAATAGTAATCTGAAGACTTTCTTAGAAAAAATCTGAAAAAATTCTGAATGCATAAGACCCGCTCTTTAAGCCTACTTTTTCTTCTAATTATCAACGAATTTTATTTTCTACAAAAAATTTTTAAAATAAATTCCCTAAATTCTCTGAAAAATATTAAAAAAAATTTCAACGACTCTCAGCTATCGTGGAAAATACTAAACATTTTAGTTTCAAAAAATTCTGTGATACTGCCATCTATGCGTAAATGAGAGTTTCGTATGCCAATAGTACAGAACCTTGGAATCTCCTCACGTGTTGAAGAAATGGAGTAAATATTGTGCTGTCAACGCTAGGATTCAAACCCCCTTTCAGTCGGTCATGAGATTGACAAAGTAGCCCTCTCGGTTAAAGCATGCACCCAGCTCCATGGAACTTAGTGGTTTCATAAGATGTTTACCACACACTTAGATTAAAAGTTTTCGTTATATAGTATGAAGATTTCTAATAATCTATAAGATTATGAGAAATCTTCATATATTTAAAATTAAGAAAATTAATTAGAATTACATTAAGATTTAAAATCCAAAGAATGAATTCTCTACTTTTCTGCAGAATTAGGCCGAAAAAAGCGGGTCAAATGCATTCCGATTTCATCATCTACAGAATATCTTCAGAATGAATTTTTAAAATGTTATGTAAAATATAGGCTCCTGCAGATAATTTCATACAATATGGAATTCCTGAGCAGACTATTTTAAATCCATGCATTTTAAAATTTTGTAGATATACTTTAAATCATTTTTACTTACAAATTCTGAAACTTTTAATCACAGCCTAGCTGCATTTTACAGAAAACTATAGAATGTATAATGTGATTCATCCGTAATATTGCTAAGTTTATTAAATTAACCAAGTTTATTTTATATTGCTAAGTTTAATTCATATTAATATTGTTAAGATAAAATTCGCAAATTACAACGAATGATTTGCATGTAAATTTTTAAATGTGTTGTGGATTTTAAATCTTCTTAGAACTGAATATATGAAGCAAATAATTGCAGATTTTGAAAAGTAGAATCATAAAGTAATTCAGAAGCAAGAAAATTTTCAAGAACTTTAATTTTAATAATGTAATCGTTTTGTTTGTAAAACGAATTGTTTTTTTTTCTTTTTTTTGGATACTGTGTTTAAGTGAAACAATATTTTGACTTTGGTACTTATCGTTCAAATTTCCTTTACAGGTATCTGTGGGATATTTACCAAACAAAAAGGTTCTAGGATTAAGCAAGTTAGCCAGGTAAGATTATCAGATTAGATTAGATTAGATTACTATTAGATTAGTTTATCTGAATTTTTATTTTATTTACTTTATTTATTTGCTTGTTTTAGAATAGTTGAAGTATACAGTAGAAGATTACAAGGTATGTTGATCATTTTTAGATTCTCAATTTTTACAATTAAAAAGAATAAATTCTAATTAAATAAAGTGATTTAATCTAGGAAATAATTTTGTAGATTCTTCCTTGATGTTAAAATTTTACACCGCAATGGAAACGGTAAAAAATTTACATAATAAATAAGTGAAAGTTGTACAAAAACAAACATTTTCGCACAGAAGAATAAAAATTATTTCAAAGCCAGAAACGAAAGAAAGACAACGAATGCCGAAAAGGAATTTCGTTTGAAGTTCAATCGTTACCTCCGAGCTGTTTTCCCTGCATTTACACCGCCAGGCAGGGAAACAGTTTTACAGACAAAATAAAACGATTATAACTCCAGCCAGAGGAATAGCGAGAGATAAAAGTAGCGTACTCTTTAAATTGTATTTAAAACTAAATACTTAAAAAAAAATTAAGAAAATACCAGCAATGCATAAATCTTATCCTATAATTTAAAAATATATATATGGGTCATTCTCACAAAAACAGTCATTTTCATGTCCCCAATATATTTTATGTTTGTTTTACAGCTTACGAAAAAAAAAATTCAGGGAAACTAATAAG